AGTAGGTGACCTATTTTATTTTCTATATAGATAACCCATTTCCTAGCACTGTTTACTAAATAATCCATTTTTCCCCAATTGGAATCACAATATAACCTCTGACATCTATCAGGCTCCCATATATGAGTTAGTCTAATTTTTGGCTCCTGATTCTGTTTTACTAGTCAGTCAGTTTATCTAATCCTATGCCAATAGCTCACCCTTGAATCACATAGCTTCATAACAAATTCTGTTCACTGAGAAGGCAAGTTTCATTCTTTCCTCCCAACCTTGCTCTTCCTCTGGAGTGTTTGTCAAGTTCCTCTAAAATTTAGGTTGGGGGGGGATCTAGATGGGAATTGTATCAAATCTATAGATCAATTTGAGATGAAGTTACTTCTTTTAAATATCAAGTTTTCCTATCTATTCAATTGGTATATCTCTGAATGTAATGTAATTTAGTAACATCATTTTTACATAAAGTTCTTACATATCTTATTATACAAGGGTACTTTTAAAAGGTTGTGGAAAAATGGAATGGAAAGATAATATAAACTTTTCCATACACTTGTTGAAGACCCCTTGTTTGTATTTCTAAATACTGTTTTGTGGATTCTATCAATATTATATATTTTTATATTACATTCTCTTAACTATTTGTTGCTAGTTGAAGTGGATATGATTGATTGGCTGTCAGTCTTCATTCCCACCCTTTTCTATTGTCACTGCCTGTATTGCCATTGACACTCCCAACAGAGGCTGGAAAGCCAAAATCTACATTTTCCAGATTCTCTTGAAGCTAATTTTATCTTTGTGAATTATTTTCTCCCAGTTATATAAGTTTATGGGAGATGTGGAAAGCAAAAGTAAGGCAGAAGTCATCTTTCTGTTGCTTCAGGGTTTTCAGCAATTAGGCAAGGTCACTTTAGTATAGAATTTGTCTGCAGCTCTGTTCTAGAATCATTCACATTTCACAGGTGTTGAGTTGAGAGGCAGTTGAAGAAGTGGCTTTCTCATTACAGATTCCTGAATTGCAGCTTTGGTGATTGCTATGGTCTGAATGTTTGTGTCCCCAAAAATGCATATGTTGAAACCTAATCACTGTGTAACGGTGTTAGGAGGTGGGGCGGTTGGGCAGAATCCTCACGAATGGTATTACTACCCTTATGAAAGAGGCCCCAGGGAGTTGCTTAGCCCCTTTAGCCGTGTGAGGACACAGGGAGAAGGCCCCATCTACAAACCAGGAAGCAGGCCCTCACCAGGCACCAAATCAGCCAGAGCCTTGATCCTGGACTTTCCAGACTCTACAAATGTGAGAAATGAATCTCTGTTAGTTATAAGCAGTTTACAGTATTTTGTTATGGCAGCCTGAATGGACTAAGACAGTGACGTATTAGTGAATGACAGTGGCAGTCTCCTGATTCAACTTGTTTATCGTGATATTCTTGGAGAGCCATTTCTGTGTTTTTCTGAGATTCATACTGGCTTCCCATACTGGCTCTTTTAATGATTTTATAAGCATCTAATCTCCTCTATTGAGTCTCTTTCTATTTAAAGCGGTTTCTATTTCCTGGTTGTTAGCTAACATACAGAAACACAACTAATTTATATATGTCTGTGTGTGTGTATATATATATATTTTATTCAACAACCTTGCTAGACTTCTTTTTTATTCTAATGATTGATCTATAAATTCTTTTGAATTATCTTTGTACATAACCATATCATCTGCTAGTAATGAATATTCTGTTTTTTAAAATCCTTGTATCTTTTACCTATTTTTTCTCGCCATATTGAACTGGCTAGTAGTCCAGTAGAGAGCTGGTTGGAACAAAATGAAAGTTTAATTGCAAGTGTCCTTGCTTTAGTCCCATTCTTAAAAGGTAAGCCTTTGGTATTTCACCATTAGGTACAATATTTGCAGTAAGTTATTATTATTATTTATAAATACTCTTTATCAGTTTAAGGAAGTTTGATTTTATTCCTGGTTTCACAAGGGTTATATTTTAAATCACAAATGCATATTTAAATTTATTAAATGTCTTTTGTATCTACTGAAATTTTTGTCTTTCTTTTTTTTCTTTAATCTATTCATTTAGTGGATTACAATTATTTACTTTCTCATGTGAAAGCGACTTCACATGCCTGGGATAAACTCACTCAGTCACGGTATATTATCCTTTTTATATATTGGCTAATATGCTAAGAGGTTTACTGAGGTATAATTGACACACAACAAACTGCACATATTAAAAATGTACAATTCGATCAATTTAAGGTATTTATACATTCATAAAACCATCGCCACTCCCTCTATAATCTCTTCCTCCCCCCATCCTCTCTTTTATCCCTAAGGACTCATTAATCTGATTTCAGTCACAATATATTAGTTTGAATTTCCTGCAATTTTATATAAATGGAATCATACAGTATGCACTCAGTTTTGCCTGTCTTTTTTCACTCAGTGTAATTATAATTATTTTGAGATTCTTCAGTGTTGTTATTGTTTGTATCAATAGTTCATTCCTTTGTATTTCTGAGGAGAACTCAATTTTATGGAGATACCACCATTTGTTTACCCATTCACCTGTTGGTGGATCTTTGGGTTGTTTCTTGGGTTTTTTTGCTGTTACAAATAAAGCTTCCATAAACATTTGTGTACAAGTCTTAGTATAAACACATGCTTTCATTTCTAGGAGTAGAACAGCTGAATCATATGGTACACATAGATTTAACTTGTTAACATACTACCAAATGATTTTCTAAACTGGTTGACTATTTTACATTCCCACCAGAAGTGTGTAAGAGATCCAGTTATTTCACATCTTTGAATATGATCAGTTTATCAAAATTTTAACCATTCTAATATCTGTGTAGTAGTATCTTATTTTGTTTTATTTGCATTTCTCTAATGACTAATGACATTGAGCATCTTTTTATGTGTTTATTTGCCATCTGTATATCTTCTTTGGTGAGTGTTTATTAAAATCTTTTGCTCATTGTTTTATTGAATTGTTTTCTTATAATTGAGTTTTTAGAATTCTTTATAAGATATATAATTTTCAAATATTTTCTCCAAATCTGTGGCTAATCTTTTCATTATCTTCACAATGTCTTTTAAACAGTAGAAATTTCTAATTTTGCTGAAGCATGACATATTAGTCTATTCTTTAATGGATATTCTTTGATGTCTACTTAAGAAACACTTGCCTAACCTGAGGTCATAAAGGTTTTTCCCTATGTTTTCTTCCAGAAATTTCATAGTTTTAGATCCTTTTTGAATTAATTTTATATATGGTACAAGGTATGGATTGGATTAAAGTTTTTTGTTTGTGGTTTTTTGGGGTTTTTTGTTTTGTTTTGTTTTGTTTTGTTTTTTTGCATGTGGCTACCAAATGATTCCAGCACCACTTGTTGAGAAGATTATCATCTCTCCACTGTTTTGATCAGAAATTTCACATAAAGCTTAAAACTGGCTGGTAATTTTCATATCTCATACTCTGTCATGTTTTGGTAACAAGTCATTCTAGTCTTATAAAATGAATCTGAGATACTTCTTACTTTTCTGTTCTTCAGAATACTTTATGCAAGATTGGAATTATATTTCTTCCTTGAATACTTGGTAGAACTATAGAACTTTTGACTATTGATTTTTCTTAATTCTGGAAAATATGTTTTCTTAGGAATTTGCCCTTATCTTCTATATTTTCAAATTCATTGGTATCTAGGAATATTTATAATATTCTCTAATTGTTTTTTAATCACCACAGCATCTATAATGATGTTTCCTTTTGTATTCCTGATAGTAATTATTTGTACATTCTTTTTAACTTTTCCTCAATTAATCTCAATTAAACAGATATTTAGAATTTTTATTAGCCATTTCAGAGAACTAACTTTTGGCCCTATTAATTTTCTTTATTTATGATTGTTTTCATTTTATTAATTTATGCTCTACTAGTTGTTAATTTCTTTCTCTTTATGTAGACTTATTGTGCTTATTTTAATTTCTCATTGATGATTAATTAATTAATTTCAGCCTTACTTCTTTGCTGATATATATGCATATAAGACTTCAAATTTCCTTTTAAGTACTACTTCAGCTTGAACACAAAATTTACCAATAGCATATTTAATGTCAATCAGTTTAAAATATTTTCTGTTACCTATCATAATTTCCTCATTGACCTATGAATCATTTTGAAGGGAATTTCTTAATTTCCAAGTATATGAGGATTTTCATGTTATGTTTGTGTTATTAGTTTCTAATTTAATTGCATGTGTTCAGGAAACGTTTATGTAGTTTTAATCCATTGATATTCCTTAACATTTTCTTCATGGCCCAACGTTTTGTCAATTTTTATATATATTCAATGTGCGCTCAAAAAATATTGGGTGGATTATTACCAAATATGTGTGTGTGTGTCAATTTTTTTCTTTATGATATGTTACTTTTTCATTTATTGAATAATTTGTTTTAGATGTGTTTAATCAAGTTCTAAGAGAGGTTAGTAAACATCCCCCATTAGTATTATGGATTTGTATGTTTCTCCTTATAATTCTCTCACTTTTGCTTTATAGATGTTGAGGCTACATTGATAGGTACATACAGATTAAAACTGTGAAATCTTCCTGGTGAACTGTGATCTTCATTACCTCTTTGCTTTTAAAAACTATCTTCTCTAGCTACATTAACTTCGTTTTGATTAGTATTTTCATGCTGTATTATTTTATAGTTTTGCTGTCAGTCTTTCTCTATCTTTATGTTTTAGATGTGTCTCCTATAAGCTGGATATACTTGGATTTTGTCTTGTTTTGTTTATCTTAATCAGGTTTGATAAGCGTCACCCTCCAGGAACCTCCACGTGTTCAGCTATCTGGAAGCTCCTGAATCCTGTGTTCTTGGAAACTTCGTTACATAGGCATGATTCAAACATAGACAACCACATAGAAATGTTATTGGACAAAAAGAGTATACTCTAACACTAACAAACTAGATGGGGAAATGCAACATGGCCTACCTGTTCAGATTCTTCTTGGCCTCTCTGTATAGTATTCAATCCCGCTGGGTAGTATGGGGCAGTACTTCTGAGATGCGGGTCTTATGACCTACAATCAGATACAGTAGGTCAGAGAATTTCTTTATGGCCAGTTCCAAGACAGAGTCAGGAGAAGGTTAGAACAGGCCAGGAACTGTGGATGAGAATCAAAATATACACATCATAATATCACAGTCTGTTTCTACTATTTTAGTAATTTCCTAGAAATTACAACATGCATACTTAACCTTTACTCTCCTTCTTGATAATATAAGCAGCTTAGAATATTTGACTCCATTAAACATATATGCCATTTAATTGCATTTTAACTTTTTATTTTTAGATGCCCTGTTATGGTTTGTTCTTTTACACATTCAATGTGTACTAGATTTACTCACTTTCTTTGCTCTTTATTACTTCTGTATCTTACATTTTCCATCTGCTTAAAGTATTTCTTTAGAACTTTCTTCAGTACGATTCTGCTGGGGGCAAACTCTCTCAGTCTTCGTTGGCCTGAAAATGTCTTTATTTCAGATTCATTACTGAAATATTTTTTACTGGGTATAGAATTTGAGATTGGTAATGATTTTCTCTCATTACCTGAAGTATATTCTTCCACTGTCTTCTGATGTCTCTTGCTGCTGTTCAGAAATCATGTCAGTCTAACTCCTTTAAATACAATCTGTCATTTCTTTGTGATTGTTTTTAATGTTTTCATTTCTTTACCTTTGTTTTCTTTTTTAGCTTTGCTCTTCTGCTGTTTTACCGTGGAGTTGTTAGATATGGGTTTTATGGGTTTCTTTTTATTTATTCTCCTGGAGAGTCACTGAATTGTTTTAATCTGTGCATTAGTGTCTTTCATTACTTCTGGAAAATTCTCAGTCATTATGTCTTCAACCATTACTTGTGCCCCATTTTCTTCCTCCTCTCCTTTCTGGATTCTAATGAAATGTATGTTAATTCTTTCTCCTCAATCATTTTTGTCTCTCATCTTCTGTATTTTCTTTTTGTTTTTGTTTTAAAAATTTTTTTTTCCTTACCAATCTTCTAATTCACCAATTCTCTTTTCAGCTATGTTTAATCTGCTTTTAAAGCCATCCATTGGATTTAAAGAAGGTGGCCTAAAAACACATATTTACCTTCTTATCATTCTAAAATCCAATTAAATTGAAGAAATACAGAAACACAAATTATGAAAAATATAGAAATAAAAACTAATTCATGACAGCACTAAAAACTAGTCAGTGGTACCATCAGAAAAATAAAACCATGGAGAATTTCCAGATCATATAAATTTAAGTTACTGTACTTTTTAGTTCTAGAAGTTCCATCTGGTTCTTTTTTATATCCGCTATGTAATACTTCCTGAAGACATTTTAAATTTATCTTTTATTTATTAAATAATAGGCATAGTTATTTTATTACCTGTTTTATAACCCACTAAATCCAAATGTCAGCTATTTGTGGTTCTGTGTCTGTTGTCTGTTGTCTCTGTTGGTTTGTTCTTTCTTTGTGTGTTTTTTCTTTTCTTTTCTTTTTTTTGGGGGGTGGGGGGGGCTTTTAAAAATTTTTGTTTCTAGGGCCAGCCTGTGGCTCACTTGGGAGAGTGTGATGCTGATAGCAACAAAGCCACGGGTTCAGATCCCTATATAGGGATGTCTGGTTGGCTCACTTGGGAAAGCGTGGTGCTGATAACACCAAGTCAAAGGTTAAGATCCCCTTACTGGTCATCTTTTAAAAAAAAAAGAAAAAAAAATTGTTTCTGTTGGTTCTTGCTCATGTTGTCTTCTTTCTTCATGTGCCTATTTAAATCTGACTACATCTGTGCTGATACTTGAAAATGTATGTTTAGGAATAATTTGAAGCCTAGTAAAGAGATTTCTTTGTTTCTGCTAGGCACCTAGGGACACTATCAGTCTGAGATCACCTAATCCTAAATTCAAATCTTATATTTCCCTGTACCACCAAGGTGATGGAAACAATCTCAGGAGGACTTCAGTTATTCTTATCTCTCAGTTTTTTATTCTCTTTTCAGTATTTGCTTTTTAGGAAGGCTTCTAAAATTATTCTCCAGCCTTTTTAGTAATTTTCATCATTGAGTTAGCCAATTACCAAAATCTGGAGGTCTATTAATTTCTTCCTGAGTCACTTTTGCTAAATATTTTTTTTGTTAAAGAAGTCCATTTCTTTAAAATGTTCAAATTTATTGGCACAAAGTTGTTCATAGTTTTCTCTTTATCTCCAGTCTTGGTTACGTCTGAAGTTATAACTTCCTTTTTTTTATTCTTAATTTTTTTAAATTTGGACTTTCTGTCTTGTTTTTCCTAGTCGTTCTCCCCCAGGGGTTATCTATTTCACTATTTTTTTTTAATAGATAGAATTTTCCCTGTTTTTTTATTTTTTGATTTCATTTATTTCTGTCTTTATCATCAATGTATATTTTTTCTAATTAATTAGAGTTTCTTCTGCTTTTCTTTCTCTGGTTTCATTTTTCCTTTTCTTTTTTTCTAATTGATCTTCTTCTCTAGTTTCTTAAGTTTGACACTAAACTCATGAATTTTCAGGCTTTCCTCTTTAAAGCAAATAACAAGTTTGTTAATTACGTTGTTTAAATTTATATCTCTACTAATTTTTATCTGCTTTATTCAGAGTGGTTCATTGGCATATCCACTGACATAAACTTGTCAATTTCTCATCATATATCTATTAAGTTTTGCTTTTATTTTGTCTGATATTAATATGGTTACTAGTTTTTATGGTTAGTATTTTCCTGAAATCTTTCTCATTTTTTAACTTTCCATCTTTCCATTTTTTAAATATAAAGAAATTTTTGGAGATAATAGAGTTTTGTTTTCTTTTTTTTTTTTAACTCACCAGAACAATTTCTGCCTTTTAACTGGTGAGCTCAGTATATTTGTACACAGAATACAGTTCAATTTTTTAAAATCCATAATTATATTTTCTGTCTTTTTGAGGTTGAATTTAATCCATTAACATGTATTATGATTGCTGGAAATTTAGAATTTGTTTCTTCTATCTTATTTTGTGTTTTCTATTTGTTCTACTTTTTCTATTTTTTCCTCCTCTTGTGACTTTATTTATATTTGCTTAATCATTTATTTGTTTTCTTCTTTCATTTTTGCCTTTTAGTAAATGAGAATTTATACACTCTATTTTTATTCTCCTGTAATAGTAGCAGTCTTAGTACTCTTATTTAACAAGAAGATCTAAAATTAATCATACCTTAACTCCTCTTTCAAATAATGTCTTAAAAACACTCTTCTTGCATTGACTTTCACCCTCTTCCCCCAACTTAATTGAGTTGTTAAGTATGTGTGATAAAGTTTCCAGAATAGGAATTAAGTGGTTAACTTTCCCACCACCAGAGGGTGAAATGCATTTTCAAAATATTTTTTTACTTTATGTATTTCAAAATAATATTAATATTTATCTTAGTTGTAAACCGAATTATGTTTTAAACAACTAACTGAACTTTTGTTTAAAGAGGTGGGCTAAAAACAAATTTACTTCCTTTTCCTTCCAAAATTCAATTAAATTGCCAAAAAAAAACCCCATAAAAATGAATTTATAGCACCACTAAAAACCAGTCTGGGGGGCTACCAGTTGACTAGAACAGTGGAGAATTTCTGGGTTATAGAAAGCAGATATCACATGAAGTATTAATTCTGAGGAGGGGACAAATGGCAGGAAGAAGGGGATTAAAGGAGACTTCCCTTTGTGTGTGTATGAAGTGTTATAGGTGTATGTTGTCTGAATTTCTACAAAAATGTATTCATGTATTTTTTGTGTAGAAAAAAGGTTACATAATCACTTATAAATAAACTGCATGGATAATGAATACAAATTTGACAATAAAACTAGCAAAGCTGAGGATCTTTGAAACCCATATACCTGACAAATCTCACAAAGAACTCCTTCAAAAGGGAGCTAAGACCAGAGAAATTGAGGATCAGTCATCCATTCAGGATTCGTTTTTGTTATGAAATGAAGATCTAATTATGTATATATTTTCAAATGAATAGCCAATTGACTTCATACCATTTATTGATAGTTTATCCTTTCTCAACAGAGTTGATATATCACCTTTATTGTTTACTAAATTCCTTTAAATACATAGATCTGTATTTTCTATTCTTTTCCATTCATATTTTGTTCATCTTTGTCCCAGTACTACACTGTTAATTATTATTTTTATATGTATCTGTGTATTTTTATATCTGATATTGTTAATGTTCTTCTTTTGCAAAATTTTCTGTTATGCTCTCACATTTTCTTTTCTAGATAAAATTTAGAATCTAATTAATTTCATAAATAATTATCAGTTATTGATCAGGGCAATATTTTATTTATAGATACATTCAAAGAAAATTAACATGTTCATACTATTGAGTCTTTCCATTCTAGCAGTTTTACACTTTCTTCTCTTTTCTCTCCATCTGTCATCTCTGCCTCTCTCTCCACATCAGCTTTGTTATCAGCTAGTCCTCACAGAGAAGGATATGTCAGCCTGTTGCTCTCAATCCACATCCTCCCATTTTCACTATCAGAAAAGGGAATAGCTCTTTTTCCCAGCTGTACCTAAGTAAATCCTGGGGTAGATATTCATTGGCCTGGCTTGGTTACGTAACTTCTCCCCAACGAGTTACAGTGGTAGAAAGACGGGGGAATGTGTCCAATTAGGAGGGATAAGCCACACAATAATTTGAGCAGAGACAATAATGTAAAGAATTTTAAACTATAACAGGGAATTGGAGTGTTGAAGATGGGCTAATTAGAAATAAAGAAAACTCTACAAAATATAGGAATAACACATTATTTTGAAGAAGTAGGTATTATCCCTGGGGCTATGATGGAGCACCCCAGAAAAGAGCCTCCCTTGGACTGTTGCCCCCCACCCCCCACCCCCCACCACCATGGCTGGGCTCCAAACCTTACTGGGGAGGGTGTGGCCATGGCTCACTGAATGACATAGAATCTATGATCCTTCACAGCTTCACTGGAAATCTGCATTCTAGGTGCTGGGGAAAGCAATTTACATGGAGATGTCTA